GAGTTGATTAAGGCCTGGATTAGTTAATTAATGTCTAATTAATACTTTAGAAAACATTTCAGACCTAAAGAAAGACCTGCAATAGGCAGATTTAGCTCTTGCATAACGCATGTTTAAGAAATTTATTACTGCAGCAACAAAAGGGTACACTTCCAAGTGAAACATTTTTGAGGGGTATGGTATATATTATGTTAAGATGCAATTATTTCTGTTGTGTTCCTGGATGAATTATTGAATTGCACCTGTAATCCAATTAGAACTATTCACTTTCACTTGTTTACAGGTACAATCTGCTTTCTCAAATGCATAACATCAAATTCTATCTTTGTATTATAAATTAGAAAAAGACTCTCTTTCTAATTGTATACATCACATTCTCTACTAGTAATTAGATCTGTCAATGTATGATTGTATTGTTAATAGAATATAACCGGCTGATAAGAATATCAGTGAAAATATTCATACTTTATCTTACAACATGTGTTTTATTATTACAAACATAAATTACAAATTTTGAGTATAACAACACCTGATATTCAAATAACTCATACCTCTGAAATGAAGTGAAATAATGGAGAGAGAGAGAGAGAGAAATGGGGTTTAACGTCCACTCGACACAACTAGGTCATTTCGGGACTAACATATGGTTTAATTTTATTTCAATAATTCGCTTGCGCGTAGAGGTCTTTAGCAGTGGGAGGAAACCGGAGTGCCCGGAGGAAACCCACGAGGTTGAGAAGGCGCCCCTATCTCCATGCCACATACGCTCACACCAGGGCTCGAAACCACAGCCGCAAGCCAGAGGTGACCGGCCAGCCAGAGGTCTAAGCGCAGCACTCTAGACCACTAGGCCATCCCAACCCCCCGTGAAATAATGGAAAATGTTATGTTTTTAGTAATTTGTGTAAAAATGAGTATGTTTGAATTTATAGTTTATTTTATCAACAATAGAGGAAGTAATATATCAACCATTGTTAAACTTGACACCTCTTATCATCTATCTATTATGCTTTTATTCTGATAGAATTTTCTTTAACTTCAAATTCCAACTCTACAGTTTTCTTGCATTTCATTAATTCTTCATTTCAAACTTCCTGTTTCTTTATGGTTTTTTTTTGTGCTGTGTACACCTTAAGATCTGAACTGGAATGTGGGAGGTGGTGGATTAACAAACCAACAGTGAGGCTGATGTCCCCCCGCCGAAATTCCAAAATAAATAGATGATACATCAATAACATATTAATTAATCGCACATTTCTTTTCAAAAGAATCGAGCAATCAAACTATACACTAAGTTTCATCACTCTCTATCAGATAGAATCAAGATTATCTTGTCCCAAAGCATTGACCAATGAAATTTATTAGCTCTGCTTAGCTTCAGTTTGAAATGTTAATCATTGAACTCAGTCAAGACATTCACCTAATGAACATCTACATCAAGTTTAAACATTCTAACTTAATTACAATGAGAGTTATTGTGTTCCAAAGTTTCGACCAATCAAATTGTTTATTGCTCTGCTTACCCGGAGCAGAAAATGCTCATTATCTAACTTAGTCAATGTATTGATGTTATGAAACTATACACCAAGTTTCATCACTCTCACTTCTAAAGTTATTGTGTCCCAAAGCATCAATCAATCAAATTGCTTATCTCTGCTTACCCTAAGCAGAGAATTCTCATCTTTGAACTCCATCAAGGCATTCACCTAATAGAACTCCATCAAGGCATTCACCTAATAGAACTCCATCAAGGCATTCACCTAATAGACACCTACGCCAAGTGTGAACATTCTAACTCAATTAGAATGAGAGAGTTATTGTGTTCCAATCAAATTGCTTATCGCTCTGCTTACCCGGAGCAGAAAATGCTCATTATCTAACTTAGTCAATGTATTGATGTAATGAAACTATACACCAAGTTTCATCACCCTCACTTAATTAGAACCAAAGTTATCATGTCCCAAAGCATCAGCCAATCAAATTGCTTATCTCTGCTTACCCTAAGCAGAAAATGCTCGTCTTTGAACTCCATTGAGGCATTGACCTAATAAACACCTACACCAAGTTTGAACATTCTAGCTCAATTAGAAAGAGAGTTATTGTGTCCCAAAAAGTGTGACGGACAGACAGATGGGCGGACATACAGACAGACGAACCCATTTTAATAGTAGAAGGGTTGCTAGACTAGCCTTCAGTCTAAGAAAAATACTAGTTATCAAATGATAATGTACTATTTTGACAATTATTTTTCTATATACTGGACACAAGGAGGGGGGGGGGGTGAGAGAGAAATCAGATCTTCAACAGAATTTTTTATAATGCATAACATCTCATATGCATCAACTATTCACGTGACCTTATGATTCAAGTCAATAAAAAAAAATGGCTTAAAACAGCAACCCAAAAGGGCATTCTGCCAAACTCCAAAAACAACAAATGTAGAGAGGTGCTTATATATAACTTTGGAGATTTTCTCCAGGTTGTAAAAAGAAAATCACAGAAATCAATAACAGCCATATGTTCTTTTCAAATGCCGGATTTTCCAGAAAGTATCCCTTTTTTTCTTTTATTCTTGCAGATTTGGTGGCATCTCTCTAGTAGAGTTTTTCAATCAAGTTTTTGTGGTGAGTTTAATCTTACTATTTGTTATACATGTTATAAAAACACTGGGTTTGTCAAAAATAAGAAGAAAAAAGTATGGTACATTAGAGGTGGTTATAGGGAGGGGTTTTACAATAATATTCATCTAACCTCCCTATTCATATACTGTTAACCTTAGAATATAATGTGATTTTTAAGTAAACACATCTTGCTCTTAAATACAAACAATTTTACCACTGCAAAATCTAATGCATGTGTTTTCTCCAATTTTACTGGGAGATTAAAGAGCGAGAGACAAGGAATTCTCAAATATAAAACAAAAATTTGAATAATAGTAATACTACCTGACCTGACTATACATTTAAAAGGAATTTATGGTCAAATACCACAACTACATGTGGGAAAATGTCTTAAAAATATGACTGCATGCAAAATTAAAGACAGATTTGCAAATCCATTGCTAAGTAACACACATTTTCAAAGAGAGAGAAAGAGAGAGAGAGAGAGATGGGGTTTAACATCCACTTGACACAAACTAGGTCATTTTGGACTAACATATGTTTCAATTTTATTTCAATTATTCGCTTGCACGTAGGGGTCTTTAGCAGTGGGAGGAAACCGGAGGACCCGGAGAAAACTCACGAGGTTGGACAGGTGACCCTACTACTTGTCAGGTACAACCAAGTAATCGAAACCCCACCAGTTGACTCAATGACTGACTGTATGATACAGCACGCGCGCGCATGCTAACCATTCGGCCATCCAACCCCCCCTACACGTATGTATGTGTAGGCCAGTGCTTGGACTTTCAGGGTAAAATATTTTTAATGAATCGGCATCTATTAAAGATGCATTATGGGAGATTTGATAACGAGTTGGCAGTTCTCATTATAATAGTTAGAAACAGATAATGTAAAGGCAATTTGCTGAAAATTTCATTCAAATTGATCCACTATGAACTGAGAACTAAGCGGTTGAAATTTCTGGCTAGCCTTGATCATCATTACTAAAGTCAGTACGATAAACAGCATAGTCTTGATTATCCATTTAATCATTAAATCAAGAAGGAAAGTTATGCAGTAAATCGGCTCATAATCCACTAAAGATTGCAGGCTAGCGATGCCATCTAGAGTTGATTATGGTCTGGATAGGTTAATTAATGTCTAATTAATAATTTAGATAACATTTCAGGCCTAAAGAAAGATCTGCAATAGACAGATTCAGCTCTTGCATAATGTATGTTTAAGCTTTCTAACTGATAAACATTTTAAAATCATGGCAAAACAAGTTGGACACCAACACAATGTATCGGTACCTTTTAGCTATATATTTAATGACTTCCTTACTAACACCCTGCCACCATTTAAATCACACAAACAACATTATAATATGCCTGGTTTCAATTGAATGCATGTTGAACCAATATGAAACGGGACCCGAAAAAAATTTAGAGCTCATTGTTCTAATATTACATTAACAAATACAAAATTCAAGATTTCTGTTGGCCGGCATCGTTGTCATAATCTACTCTGTTTTCAAGACAAAAAAATTTAAAGCAGAAAAAAAAATACAAAATACTGTCCCTCCTAATAAAACAAAAGACACCCATATTGCGCCCATATGTATTGCAAGAAGTCATGAACTAGAATGACATTATGAAACAAATATTAGCTTCACTATATAAGCTTTGTATGATAATAGCTTGCAGGTGCTTGCTATTCTATATTGTTTATAAACTAACTTATACGTTTATATATTTACATCTATAGCCTTTTTATACCTGACACAACATCAAACAATGGTATTACTTTACAATTTACTGTGCATATAAAATACCAGCAACCTTCCAACAATAATATATCTTTTATGTATATACCTCACAACTATAACCATTACTTTTAACCTTTATAGTAAATGCTTTCATAATGCAAATTGAGTTTTTTTCTCAAATTTCCTATTGTTTAAAGCTTACCACACACCTTTACAAATCCATATAGACAATAAAAAAGATTTTGATTACATACATATTTTATTGACATATTTTTTTCAACCCACTTCGATCAGTTATAGTTATGGACAATTAAAAAGATTTTCATTACATACATATTTAATTGACATTGTTTTTCAACCCACTTCGATCAGTTATGGGGCTGCAAATATATTTTGTACCATAAACCACCTATTATAACCATGCAAAATGATTACATATAAGTCGTAGAATTTGTAAAATTCTGAGATTTCTACTACCAGTAGAGACTTTCCATATTAGGTATGATGACAGTCAAATGCCATCAAAATTTTACTGCAGATTTAGTATACTCGGGAGCAGAAAGGGATAGGGACCATAAAGTCTACTTTACTCATCACATATTTTATCATTTCAATGTATGTAATCTTACCTTTTAGGCACATTTTCCGTCTTTTAAAATCCAGAACTGTTAAATTAGATGCTGAGAAAATACTGATATTCATTTGTAATGTGACATCCACCTCTGCAGACATTTTACCTGAACATGGAAAACTAACCTGGAAGACTGAAAATAAAAAAAGAAATACTCAAATAAAGTTTAATAGAGAATAATGATTGGAATGGCAGGAAGGGAAATCATTACTTTTTACAGGTTTATGAATTTGAAGAATAAGACTGTGCTTTAAAAGCAAAATACTCCAAAATAAGAGACATATAAAGATGAAATGGGGTTTAACATAAAACTTGTCTGAACCAACTGGACTATAAATGAAGACAGGAATATGAAGTGAGAGAAATTCCAACTGTCAAGGGTTCGTTTACGTGCACTCCAACATGAACACAGGTCCTCAATTTTTGTCTAGTGCAAACTGACTTTTAGTTCATACACATTAAAATGTGTTTTAAAAAAGCATATCAGTCCAAAAATAATTAAAATCGATCAAGTGCTGGATTGATCACTTATAATAATTTTGTGATCAATATGATTTTTGTTAAAGTTACTTTTATTGTATGGTTTAAATATCTATATTTGCCTTTTAGTCTGGAATACTGGCCCTTTCTATGAATGACATCCTGTAGTCCAAAAAACAAGATGCCTTTGATTCATATAAAATCAAAGTGTTGATTTATATGATTCATGTTACTTTGATAAAAAGATAAAAAAATTTCCTTAAGGTTAACGGAAATTGGTTTTCCTTTTACATTTGGTTTCCCAGTTTGACAGCAAAAACAATGATACCTTACCTGATAAATTATTGGGAACCTGCCCATCTTTACTTATATTAGCACTAGGTTGATTCATTGCTCGTGGGTTACTTACAGTAAAACCCATTCTATAAAACATCTAAAATAACAAAACAATAATTATACACAGTTTGTTTATATTTAGTATTTGACATTCTCTAATGATAAAAGGTGAGTACATTGCAACAAATCCCACAGGTGATTGACACAATATAGATACGTGTCCTTTTAGATAGATGTTAAATAGTAGATTCTGTCTTCAACATCCTGTGCCCTTCTTCATATTTTGGAAGGTACAGGGATATTGGAAATCAAGAACAAAACACTAGTATTGTACATTGTTCAATTACAAACTACTACTACTACTAATTTTTTAAACACAACATTATCAAAGCATCTAAAGACTGAAAATAGTTCAAGACGTATGAATGATTGAAGTTTGAAAAAAAAAAGCTTCACAAAGATATCTTGAATTGTTTCTAAGATGTACTGCAGAATAATAATTGCATACCAAAAACTCAATCAGATTTGATCCCCAACACAAAAATTATTCCACTGAGAACATTCATATTAGCAAAAGGCAATAGGCTGATACGTGTACATAGTTCCATAAAGAAATCTTAAACAATTCATGGGATGTGCTCTGGAACAATAATTGTGCACTAAGTACTAAGCAAAATCTTCAGCAGGGAAACATGAAAGTTATTTGACAGGTAAATTCATAAATAACAGTTTGGCATGGGATAATAAGGAAAATCACAAGGAATATTTCTGTGGAGACCTGCAAGCCCAGCAGACCAAATCAACAATTGAGTTGATTGCTGATGTGATTGTCCTCTAACTACAAATTCTACTTATATTATAAGCTTAATTATAGTTGAAAAGAACTACCAGAATCTGATTCAAGATCTTATGGTCATAAAATTCAATTTAAATATAGCAGTAGTCACATAACAACCACCCTCCACACTTCCGCAAATAACAAATCAAAATAAATAATGATCTGATGAGTAGAACTTTGTACTTACAGCTGGACTTTCTTTCAAGTTTTGCCATGTAAAATAAATATCTTCTACATCAGCAGGTATTGGTAAATTAAAAGAAAGAGCATAATTGTTGATGATACCATTACGTACATAATACAATTCTGCCGTAATACCTGAAATAGATAAATTATCTGATTAATTTAACATTTTAAAACTTCCAAGTTTATCCAAAGAAAACTTAGCTCCACTGCACATAGTGACTGAGGCTGATGTCCCCTGCCTCAATCCCAAAGTGGATGACACTCATAATTACATTTGTACTTGCACATTTATCTTTTGTATAAAGCATTACAATCAAATTGTTCATCTGTCTGCTGAACCTGAGAAGAAAATGCTCACTATCACACTTAGACCTAAGTTTCATCACTCTCCATCAATAGATTAGAAGCAGAGTATTGTGTTTCAAATCAAATAGTTCATCTCTGCTTAACCTAAGACCAACAGGAGGAAAGCTGCTTAGTCTGAGCAGAATATGTGCACCATCAAGCTCTGTCACAACATTAACCTAATGAATTATTAGAATATTACACTTGAAATAAAGCAGAGTTATTGTGTACCAAAAAGTATGACACACAACCCCATTTTGGTAGTCACCAGCTTTCTTCAAAAGACCAAGGACAACCATTACATACATATATATTCATTATAATCATACTATAATAAATCAACAAGTCTGTATGCTTTAAATAACAGATCTACTTTCCCCAATGAGTTTCTATGAAAAAAATAAAAAGATGCTAAGAATTATGGAAAAGAACAGAATTTGTTAATCAACTCCTTGTTTATCATTGATTGATTAATGTGTATAGAAAAGGAAGGGTTTATATATTTCAGTTTATGATTTTACCCATTAACCAAGAACTCAGTAAGCTTACATGATGATAAAAAATTTTCAGAATTTTCAGTAAAATACTGATTCAAAATCTGTACTTGGAGGTCTTAAAATTCCAAAATTTCAATGATTTTCATAATTGTGAGTTTGAAATATGGCTGTACAATTGAAACTAAATAAGCTGCAAGCATCAGTCTGTCTAGACACACAAGCTAGGCCCAAATTACATTGACAATTTCTATTGTCAGTGTCTGGGTTATGTCTTGTTTGTCATTTGGTTGTTCCAATATATTATATTGGATGGAGAGCAATTTTCTCATTTAAAGTGCCATTTATACAGTCACTGTAACTCAGGCATCATTGAATCTTGTGTATCTAGCACTAATTTCTTTCACATTCGTTTAATATCAAATCTTTGTTTAAAAAATCGTTTATAATCACCAAAAATCATCTAATTTGTACTTGTGTCCAGTTTAAAGCTGACTGATTAATTTTGATAATGAGTGTCCAATTTACAAGTATTTAATTTCCTGAGCACTATTCAAAAATTAATCATTATACATCATTAATTAATTGGGTTGTTTATTTTTTAACAGTGATTGAGAAATTAAACAAGCTTGTAAATTGGACACTCATTAACAAAATTGAATGGTCAGCTTTAAACTGGACAGAAGTACAAATTAAATGATTTATGGTGATTTTAAACAGTTTTTATGAATTTTTAAATAAAGATTGGATATTAAACGAATGTGAAAGAAATTAGTGCTAGATACACAAGATTAAATGATACCTGGGTTACAGTGAGTTGTTTCTCTTCAAATATTTTTTTACAAAATATTAAAACTTTCTTTAATTAACATGGTCAATTTGAGTGGGCATTAAGGTTTAAATGATACCCTTTCATAATTTTTTAAAACCAAACAGTGTAAAATTATGATTTTTATGAATCTGAGTAATGAATTCAAAAAGATGAATGTAATTTCTATAAAAATTGAAAAATTTATTATTGTCACTTTAAGTCTGCAAAATCTATTGTCTATAAAAAAAACTGTTAAACTTATGTAAATGTTGCCAAAATCATCGTAAAGTTTAGCTAACTTAACTAGCACCTGGTTGGCGTTCACCAATGGAAACACTTCAATTTACCTAATCTGTCATCCAGTGATTTATCTACAAAAACAGACAGCACTTGATTGAAGAATTAAAAATACAAGAAGAGGCAAGGAAAGCATTTATATACACCCCATTCTTTCACCTGCTAAAATCATTCCTTTGATTTGAGTAGATACACCTGACGTTTCCACTACGTAATGATTGACCTAACAGTAAAACAGCTCATAATGGTCATCTTCACAGGATAGTAACCTCACCTGTTTGGAACCAATCACAATCTTTGTTTTATACATGCTAAATAAAGTGAACAAATTAGGTGTTCTGGAGAACAAGGGACTTCTGAGGATTCTAAATCCAATCCATCTTGTTGAAAAGTTAATGATTCTTTTTGTGCTCTTCTTATTGAAAATGGCTAAGTCCAAATCAATCAGAGAATACAACAAAAGTATACATGCTCAATGGCAAAATTCATCTGCATACCGGCCTATGTTTTTAAATTTACTATTCAGTACATTTTCCGAGATTATAGTGGGACATATTCATATATGTTTCAAACTAAATAGCTATTTACTGAAAATACTTCTTTGACCCATCCTGAACATTGATTCAAACAAAATCTTTTGGTATAAATTTGTGATCACAATTTAGAAAGAATTACGAAATGCTATATTGCACATTATATATCAAGATTTTGGATTACATACAGGAATAGGCAAATTTTATAAATGTAAGACTCTTAATAGGAATTTATGTGGGATCAAAGAACATCATGTAAACATGTTGTAAAGGCACTTCTACTACATCTACAAGATAAAAATCAATTACGAGGTGTCAAGAGAAATGTTCCCCTGGCCAATAAACTAATTAATTTATCATCGTGAGATATGATGTCTCACTAACTCTTTACTAGTGGACTATATTTGATGAAGCTTTTATCCATAGCTTTCATCTGAAGATTAAACTATTTTCAAATAACCACATCTACATCAAGCCTTGACTAGAGTGATTATTAAATTCTATAATATTCCAATCTCAGACTTTCAGCAATTACAATACTCTTAAATCACGTAAATGCTACCATGACAATTAAAAAGCCAGTGAACAGAAACATTTCTTGGGCATAGTTCAATATATATCGGTAGCTGGTTTCACAAAATAATTTTGTTCTATTAAAACCCCTAAACCATGTTTTAAGGATAAAAATATGCTTTTATCTTCCAAGGAAAAATATGATTTACATACAAATACTATAGCAGAACTATGTAAACTTAAAAGGAAGAAACTTTGAAAATTCAGTTAACATAGACGTTAAATACATTTCCAGAATATTGTTTTTACTATTTTTTTCAGGTGTTATTACTAATTAAGAGTAAATAAATCTGTTAGCACTTCACTATAAACCTGATGACTGATGCAGCACAGAGAGAGACAAGTCCATTTTTTTGACATCACAGACTCAAAAATCATTTCATCTTCAGTTTATCTTAAGGGTTTGTTTAATGTAAATGATACATTCAAATAACAGATATCCCATGTCTAAAAATTATAATCATATTAACAGAACAAGAAAAACTTGTTCTGGTTTGACAGTTCAAATTGTAAATGGATTAAGGAATTAGTACTTATTAACTTAATCATATACTAGAACCTCTAGTTGTACCCCCTGGTGTTACAGCTGCTAGTTATGTTGTGGACATGGTAAACATATTCATGTCTTGTGTCTAGGATTCAAGAACTACCACAGTATGTTTTTACAGGCTAAAAGATCAAATCTTTGACAGTTTCTAGCCTGCAGGGAATATCAAAAAATATAAGGAATATGAAGAAACATGCACTTTATTTGACTGTACGGTTACTGTCAATAGGTACGATGAGTTCAAATGAAACAAAATGTTATTCTAATTAAAATTTCATTCTTTTTTCCACTAAAGAAAAAAAATCATAGATCTGACAGCTTAGTACACACATTTCCACTTCACATATACCTTAAATAAGTAATGCATTTGAGTTTAGTACATGTACATCTGAAATAGGGAGCCACGGTGGCTCAGTGAGTAGGACATTGGTCGTTGGCTCATTAACCTGGAGGTCCCATGTTCGATCCCTGCGTAGGCCAAGGAAATTCATCTGGATTTTCAGGGGTGGTTCCCCCTTGTCAGTGGTATAGTGCGGAGGGCCTGGCAAGGGACAATGTATACTCGTTTGGATAGGACGAAAAAACGAGGTCCTGTGTACACATTGCTGTGCACGACACACATAAAAGAACCCTTGACAGTTGGAATTCGAAATAAGAGTAAACCATAGCACCGCTGTCCGTGCAAAATTTCCCTCATAGCACACTGCATGCCCTTCTTCATTAGCCCAGCAGGAGCAGAACAGTAGGATGTCAAATTCCATTTCATTTCACATCTGAAATATTGAAATTACAGATTTTTCCTAACACTACTTAATTAAAACTTTAAGTCACGAATTTTAAATTTAATTTAACATCATTAAATGGTCTGAATTGTTGAAAATATAGATTTTTACTGACCACTAAAATAGATAGTCACATATATTTAAAAAAGAATGGTTCCTAACTGCCACCTTAGGAGTGCTAGCAACATTGCAGGACATCCTAGTTGCTGAGCCAGTTCCTAACTCAATGTACCACACCCAGTTTTTAAAGTAAAAATTAGAAAGCATTCAAAGCTACCATCTGAAAGTTTGAATAAATTCCATTGAGAACGTTTTGTTCCATTGCATACACAAGATTTAACAACCAAAATGCCAACAGAAAGATAACTTCTCTGAACATGTTCAAAATTTTAATCTGATAATTTTTAATTCGATATGGTTCCGTCAAAGATTTGAAAGTAAACAGGCAGATAACTGTGACCAGCAATCAAAAATTCTGATTTTTGATCAGTTTCATACTAAGGCCCAAATGAATAAGACCACCAGATGTAAGATAGGTTGCCAGGCAACGAAACATATGCCCATAGCAGCTAAATCGTCCGAGCAGTTGACAAGGGTTGTCACATATTTATTCTTTTGAAGGTAATTTTGGGCATTTACAAGACAATTTCATACAGATCAGATTATAATTAATATAATCTTTGTCATTTGAGGGTTCACGAGGTTCTACAAACTAAAACAAGGGCTTCAACTCTGGAAGTAATTTACAGA